ACACCAGTCCGCAAACTTCTGCAGAGCCTGACCATGGTTGTGTGAGGGGCCTGACAGCAGAGTCATCAGCGTACTTCACCAGATGGCAGTTGGGCTGTGTGGTTCTGCAGTCATCCGTGTATAAGATGAAGAGCAGAGGAGACAGCATGCATCCTTGGGGTGACCCGGTAGGGGTGTAACGAAGGTCAGAGAGAGTATTGTTTACCAGTACTCTCTGTGATCTGTTGGTCAGAAAGTCCAATATCCACAGGATTAACTGGTTGTCCAGATGAAAGTTGAGTGAGAGTTTAGTAGCCAGGATGTGGGGTTGCAGAGTGTTGAAAGCTGAGGAAAAGTCAGCAAACAAGAGTCTAACTGATGAGTTAGGCTGCTCCAGATGTTTATGCATGGTGTCTATAATGAATGATTTTGCGTCTTCAACACCTCTGTCTGTGCGATATGCAAATTGAAGCAGGTCCATATGGGGGTTAGTTGTTCTGAAGATGTGCTGTTTTATGACCCTCTCCATGGCTTTCATCACTAGAGAGGTGAGAGCCACGGGCCGAAGATCATTCAGAGCTTTGGTTATACTTTTTTTGGGAATGGGGATAACTGTGGAATGTTTCCAGAGGCAGGGTACTATGCTGCTGTCCATAGAGCTCTGGAACAAGGTCTGGAATACGCCACCTAGTTGCTGAGCACAGTGCCGCAGGACTCGGCTGCAGATGTGGTCAGGGCCGGGTGCGCTTCTCTCTGTAGTCCTCTTAAGGGCATTAACTACATCCAGAGTGTTGAAGGTGAATGCAGAGTTGTCTGATTTAAGTGAGGATCTTAAACTCTGGAGCTGAGTGGAGTTGTCTGACTCAAACCTGGTGTAAAAGGAGTTGAGGTCATCAGGGAGGGATGTGGCACTGCTGCCCTCCACATGGATGGTTCTGGGACTGGAGACAGCTGTGTTCACAGAGGCCATGGTTTTCAGTCCCTGCCAAGCAGAGCGCAGGTTTCCCTCTAAAAAATTCTGCTCCACTTTGTCTTTGTATTTCAGTTTTGCCATTTTAATTGCTAGTTTGACTTCTCTGTTGATTTCCTTCTTGTCTGATTCAGAGCCAGTAAAGAAAATCCTTTTCTTTTTGTTTAGTATTTCCTTGAGCTCTTTGGTGATCCAAGGTTTATTGTTGGCAAAGATGGTGACTGTTTTTGATGGGATGATATTGTCAACGCAGAAGGAGATGTATGATGATCAGCCGAGCCGAGAGGGGGAAGGGGAATAGATCTGTATGCATCCTGGACTGAACCATAGCATTTGTCCAGAATCTTCCCCATGCGGGTGGTACATGTGATGTACTGATAGAATCCTTTGAGGGACTTGTCAAGCGAACAGTGATTGAAGTCTCCCAAAATGAGTTTGGGGGAGTCCGGTGATAACTGTTCAAATTGATTTAGAGTGTTGACGATGTGCTCCGTATGTAAAGTTCTATTTAGCCCACCAGCTCTCTGAGATTAGTAAATCATGACTCCTCTGGGTGAGGTGAGGTATGTCTTCTGAAACCTCGCAGTCTCTCTCTGATGCCTCGCTCTCGCTCCTCTCTCCTTCCCTGTTAACCTGCTCTGTCCACTATGTTCCAGGCTGTGCGGGACAGCTGTTCAGCCAGGCTTTCTCTCGGTGCAATTACGCTGACGGGCAGACCTCTATCTTTCATATCTGTTGTCGCCTCTTCCGCCGTGTGGTACAGCTTTATCCCTTCTTTGTAGAAGACTCGTAGTTTAGCAGGGAACGGAGTTTGGAATCGAATATTTCTCTCCTTTAACACGCACTTTGCTTCAAAGTAGTCCCTACGTTTTTGTAAGACTGCAGGAGAATAGTCGTGATCGAAATATATTAGTCTCTCATTCATCAACACCCTCTTCTTTCCCCAAGCTTTGCGTAAAATCTCGTCTTTGATTTTGTAGTAGAGAAATCTAATCACAATGGACCGCGGCTTATCGTTTCTGTCCTCGGAAGTCCTCGGGCCGAGCACCCGGTGCGCACTCTCAATGCCGAGATCAGTGGTTGGGGGAATTTCCAGCGTGTCCCGTAATAGCTTTTCCACAAATTTTTCCGTAGACGACCCCTCCGTTCCTTCTGGAATATTGTATACCCTCATATTCTTCCGTCGAGATCTCCCTTCCTGATCAAGTAGTTTGCTTTCTTGCTATTTCATCACTTTTATCATCTTGCTTAGCACTTGCTCCATATTTTCAACACGGTCTTCCACTTTTTCTATTCGCGTCTCCACCTCCCCTATCTTATGATTAACAGTAGCGAGCTCAGTTTTAATATCGTTTAATTGTTGTTTTGTGTCTTTCCGAAAGTCCCGTATCTCTTCCAACACTTTCGCTAAGCTTGCTATGTCCTGAGGGGAGTTAGCATTAGCCCCATCACCGCTCGTCGTATTTTCTGCACTTAACGACTCATCAGTTGTGTCTTTTTTATTTCCATCCCTTTTCTCCATTCTGGCCTCACTTATCAAATCAACTGTTATCGAGTAATTTTATATTTGACTATATTATGAGGCGAAGAATATATTATTACCGGAGGAGCTATTCCTCTAGGCTGCCATTCTAGGTGGTGACGTCACCGGAACCCCCCCTAGCTGCCTTTTCTGTTTTTCTGTTTCTGTTCCATTGTGTGGGTGGAAGCTAAGTGGGCAGAAGTGGAGGGGGGGGGCGGGCGCTGACAAACACCTGGGTGCTCCTACTCCGAGCGAGACAAATACAACAGGCCTCGCAGCGGGAAGGACAATGCTGCCCCCAGAGACAGACCCAGTGCCAGGAAGAAGGCCATCAGGGCTCCTGCGGTCTCCCCATCTTTGGGCTCCACCATCCTGGGGGCAGAAGGGGGGTAAGAAAGGAACAGACACAAGAGACCACTCTTAAACCCCCGAACCCTACAATCTGTACCCCTCCCACCCCACATGCTCTCCCCACCGCTCCAAAAAAATAATAATAATAATTGATACTTTATTGATCCTCCCTCAACTTGCTCTTTTGGTGTGATTTGTCTCAAAATTTGATTAGTTTGTCATCTTTACCTATACAATATCTCAGCAAAGTCTGAAGAAGATCTGTCAAACACTTTTTGCCAACATGTCAACAAGAAAGTATCTGTGGTGGAGGATCACTCCTAAAACCATTTGTATTCCTTAAATATCCCGTCGTAAGTAGAAGCTGTAGACCATGAAGGTAACTCACTGTGGAGCGTAGGTCATAGACAGACACATACAGTATCCACTGGAGATGGAGAAGAGCATCATGATTACAGTGAAGGCTGCATCATGGGAGATGAGCACTGGCAGGTATCTGTGGCCTGGCACATTGCAAAGCATGAGCAATGGGATGAATGCCAGCCGTGCTATCACCAGCACTGGGAACAGGGGGCTCTCCTTGGGAGGCTGAGTGGGAAATGTGAGGTAGGAGAGGGTTTGTGATTGTCCAGTTAGCTGATCTGAGCAGACACAGACAACCTATGCATGATTATAACCTAGACGAAGGTCACCCACCCACTTAACGCAAAAGGTTAGACTCCGGCCAGTGAAATCCATTACATTAAAGGTGAGGAAGCAGCATACCGGTGTGAAGTATGATTCTGAGGTAGAGAGTGATCAAGCAGTGAGAAGGTTGAATCAGCATCAGACTGAAGGTTCCACACCTGACATGTCACAAGATTTTCTCCAAGGTACAGACATACCCCAGGTCCCACTAAATTTGGTCTTCACATCTGCGGTGACAGCAGGGAACACAGACAGGGTGACTGTGAACACAAATGTCACGCAGAATGCCATCACCCAAATCTGCAGAGAGAGAGAGAGAGATTCTCAGCCACCTGAATGGGGAAGACTGCCGAAGACAGGGGCATAAATAAACACATGGTTTACATTTTTGGCTTGATTACATCAGCATTTATAGATGTTACATACTTTCTGTCTATGACTTGCTAAATACATGTTTACTACAACACTACTGAATTCATTCTTAGGTTTCCTGTAAAAATTAAATGAAAAGTAATGAAAGTGGTGACTATTTAAAAATAATAATTGTTCTCTGTGGTATGGATTCCCAGCTTTTTGATGTACTAGAGAATTATTCAGCGATCGCATAAGATTAATCACTTTAATTTTTTTTCAGATGCAAACAGAAGGTATGAAGATGAGGGGTTGTAACGTTTTGAAAAATGTATAGTTTATTTTGGGAAATTAAGCAACCCCTCTGCAAAAACCCCAGTGCTTCAGAGCCACAGACTGGTACCAGTCTTCAGGTCGGTTGAGAGGCCCTACCCTATACTGCTTGGAATACCCGAAACATTTGACCCAAGCCAAACAATTAAATGGAATGCTATCAAATACTGGCATAGTGTATGTAAACTTCTGACCCACTGGAATTGTGAAATAATGTCTCTAAACAATTGTTGGAATAATTATTTTTGTCTTGCACAAAATATATGTTCTAACAGACTTAGAAAAATTATAGTTTGCTAATATGAAATCTGTGAAGTGGTAAAATTATTTCAATGACTTAACTTAAGTCTATGCAACTTCCGAACTTTAACTGTCTGGACCCCACTACCCTGTACCGGATATGCGGTTTGAAGAGCGATGGACAGAAGTTGACCTTTAGGTACCTTCTTCAAGATGTCCTTAACAGAAGACTTCTTGTCACAGCTGGTCTGTAGCGGCTGCAGGGTGAGCAGGGTTTGCTGTGTGTCACATGTTATGGCATCAGGGTGTGGTGCACCACTGTCAGCCACCAGGAGGGATGGAACGGAGTCTTCCACCTGCCCATCCTCTGCCACACATCACAGAAGGTCCTCTTAGTCCACTGTATGCTGCTCTCTTCCTTTGCATTATGCATAGTTAAAGTGCTAAAGCTAATTATAGCTAATCTATTTTCAGTTTTGCGACTGAAAAGTGTATGATTTCAGGGTGAACTGAACTAAGTGATGCAGCCACAGCTCCTGTGGGCTGAAGGATTCTGCGTCAGTATTGAACTGACTGCAATAAACCAGAATTTCCATCCATCCACTCATCCTATTCCTGGTAACAAAGGCAGCAGTCTTAGTAGAGATGTTCAAATCTTCCTCTCCCCAGTAACGTCCTCCAGCTTCTCCGGAGGGATACCAAGGTGTTCCCAAGCTGGCCGAGAGAGATTTAATCTATCCAGCTTGTCCTTGGTTTGCTCTGGGGTCTCCTCCCATGTTCGAAGCACCACCCCAGGAAGGCCCCCAGAAGCCCTGATATCCACCTCAGCTGGTTCCTTTTCATGTGGAGGAGCAGCAACTCTAGTTTGAGTCCCTCCGAAATGTCCAATCTCATGGCAAGTGGTGAACAGGTTGGCGCAGGCGATTAATTCGCTTTTGCATTCACACAGACAGTGGAGAACCACACAGCGCTTGTGAAAGGTACTGGATGGGTGAATACTACATAACAAAAGAGCACTTGTCATAAAAATAAGTGCAATTGTAAAGTGTTTTTCGGCTTGAAACAAAATGAGTTACATTGCTGGTTTGCACAAAAAAAAAAATCTTTTGCTCTCTTGCCTTTCGATTGAAAAGTGCATTGCTAAATATGCGTACTAAAGTCAACCTGGTATCCTTATCTCTGCACCAATACACCTCCAAGCAGAATTTTTCTGAATTAAGTCTCGAAATTATTTTTATGTGATATTGACCAATTCAGGGTATTGGGACAGTTCTTAGTTTCTCCTCCATGTTGTTAAGCAGTTTGGTTTCCAAGCTGCCAAACCAATCCGTCCCAAACCAAAAATTATCCCCATCCCAAAAAAGTCTGACATAACCTGCCTCAATGATTACACAGGGCCTAAATTCCAGGTGGCCTGAGACAAGGCCGAGCCTGGTACGAGAGGCACCAAAGGGGGG